GGCTTAGAATTCCTTGGCTCAGGTGACTTATATTTGTGGTTTTCACAAATCTGTAGGCTCTTACAACTTACTGAGCTGGAAATGATCTCTGCGGGGCTTCCACACCATATTTTGGTTAACAGGAGCTTTCACCTAAACCAGTTCTTATGAAAAATGGAGTTTCCTTTACTCATCTGAAAGGGGATGGGTTTAATCCATAATTTGCTATTTCTGTGTTTTGGGGAAAGACTTTTCCCACTGGTTTTCCTGAACAACTACAGTAAGCACTATCAGGATACGTAAGATCTGGTCACATGGTTAACCTGCTTCTGACTCACATGGAGAGACTGGATGAAAAACTATGTATGGATGGCACAGAAAATTCTTGCTAATTTAAACTATCTATGGCCACCAGTCTGAAAGATAATTTGAAGTTATAGAAAGTTTAGGAAGTGACACTTTTAGAGATTCCCCCCAACCACACCCACATAAAAGTCCAGACTAATGATCATAAAATGGTTTTCCAAGGTATGACTTGATTTCTCGCTCATATTTGTATTTAAAGATGTGCTAAAATAGCATTGCAAAGTACCCCCAAACTTATGGGAGAAGGTTCAGCTTGTTTTTCATTTTAGTCATTTTTTTGAGGTTAGCATGTGAATTAATGGGCTTCACTGTGACATCTTCATACATGTGCCATTCTACTTTGTTCTCCCTGGGTCCCCCCTCCACTGTCCTCCTCCATAGCCCCTGCCCCACCCACTCCAGCTGGTTCCCTTCCTGTTTCATGCATTTTTAAAAATATTTTATTCATTATTTTTATTTTATGTGTATGAGTATATTGCCTGCATGTATGTGAATGCACCTGTATCGTGCAATGCCACAGAAGAGGGCTTCAGATTTCCCTGGAACTGGAGTTAAGGACAGTTCATAGTGCCATGTGGGTGCTAGGAATTGAACCCAGGTCCTCTGCAAGAGCAGTCAGTGCTCTTAACCACTGAGCCATCTCTCCAGCCCCTCATGCATTATTAAGAAACCTAGGACCGGGGCTGGAGAGCTGGCTCAGGGGTTAAGAGCACTGTTCTTGCAGAGGATCTGGGTTCAGTTCTCAGCACCCATATTGGGTGACCCACAACTGCCTGTAACTCAATTTCCAAGGGACCCAATACCCTCTTCTGGCCTCCGTGGGCACATGTGGTACACATATATGCACTCAGGCTCATATACATAATATAAAACAAATCTTTAAAAAGAAAGAAACCCAGGGCTGGAGAGATAGCTCAGCAGTTAAGAACACTGGCTGTTCTTGCAGAAGACCCGGGTTCAAACCCCAGCACCCACCTGGCAGCTAACAACTGTCTGTAGCTCCAGTTCCAGGGGATCCGACAGCCTCTTCTGTCCTTGTGGGAATTGCATGCCACACAGGTGCACTTAACTACATGCAGGCAATACACATATACGCATAAAATAAAAATAATAAATAAAATATAAAAAAGAAGGAAACCAAGGGCTGAAGATGTAGCTCAGTTGGTAGAGTGCTTGCCTAGCATGCATGAAGCCCTGAATTGTATCCCTAGTACCACATAAAAAACTGGGTGTAGTGACACACACTTGTAACCCCAGCATAGGGGAGTTGGGGGCAGGAAAATAAGGAGTTCAAGTCCAGCCTGAGCTAGATGAAACTGTGTTTCTGTGTTTCAAATAAATAAAGAAATAATAAAGTTTTTAAAGGAAATCTTCTACAGTAGCAGCCAATTCTGTGGTGACAGCTGGAAGTGGATGAAGATGAGACTTCTAAGGGACAGGGAAGGGACAGGACTAAACACCCTCATGGCCCCCAGAACTGCAGCCACCCATGAAGCAAGGATGATGAGGGAGGCAAGTACATGTTCCACAGAGTGAGAGAAAGGAAGGTCTTCAGAGGACAAGACTGTGTGCCCAGGGGCACTGGGCAGCCATAGAGCAGGGGCTGGAGCCATGTGTGGTGGTACACACCCGTAATCCCAGCACTCAGGAAGCTGAGGCAGAAGGACTATGAGTTCAAGGCTAGCCTGGGCTACATGGTGAGGCCCTTTCTCACAAAACCAAAAGGAAAAAAGCAGGGACAAGGACCAGCACATGGCATATCTGTCCTTTAGTCCTGGCCCAACTGTGGCCAGCGGCCACTTCCTTTGAAATGACACTCCCTTTGCAGACAAAACTGCAGAGTCCACTTAGCTGGGGTTCAGGCAGCCCACTGGGCTGAGGACTCCTGCCACCTTTATTGTATTAGTGATAGTAGTAATAGTAATAGTTATTTTTTAAGGTAGCTCACAGGCTACAGAGGAAGGAAACAAGATAAAAGTCGATACAAGTAAGACGACCCTTGCCCTTCAAAACTGGTGCTCACAGAACCAGATCCAGGGGCTGGAGAGATGGCTCAGTGGTTAAAAGCACTGGCTGCTCTTGCAGAGGACTTGGGTTAGGTTCGCAGCACACACATGGGAGCCCACAACCACCTGTAACTCCAGTTCCAGGGGGATCTGATGCCCTCTTCTGGCCTCTACAGGCACTGCATGCATATAGTGTATATATATTCAAACAAAACACTCATATGCTTATTCATAAAAAATAAGCCCTTTTAAAAAGCCAGATCCAGTTTGAGGAACCCAAGCAGGTGGGGTTTTCCACAGTGGCCTTTCACAAATTCTTACATTGCTTCACAGCCCGATGTTTTTGACCCTCCTCTGGTGTCAAGTCTGAGTCCTTGCTTAAGAAGTTATTGGTACCCATTTCTCCCTCTGGAAATCAAATTATCTTTATTTATTTATTTTTATTTTTATTTATGTGTATGAGTGTTTTGCTTGTATGTATGCAAGTGCACCACATGTGTGCAGTGCCCACAGAGGCCAGAAGAGGGCATCCGATCCCCTGGAACTGGAGTTACAGATGGTTGTTAGCCATCGTGTGGATGCTGGGAACTGAACCCAGGTCCTCTAGAACAGTGCTCTGAACCATCTCTCCAGCCCTCAAATTATCTTTTTTATAATTTTTTTTTAATTTTATGTGTATGAGTGTATTGTCTGCATATATGTAAGTGTACCCATGTTGTGCAATGCCCACAGAGGTCAGAAGAGGGTGTCAGATTCCCTAGAACTGGTTGTTAGCTGCCACGTAGGTGCTGGGAATAAAACCCAGGTCCTCTGTGAGAGTAGCTAGTGCTCTTAACCACTGAGCCATCTCTCCAGCCCTCAAATTATCTTTTTAAAAGAACCATCCTATTTCATCTTTGCCTCCATGAAAACGGACTCACTAGAGTGAGTGTGATTTTACTTCAAGCTGCTCTTTGGAAAACTGGATGAGGGGTGTCTTTAGTCAAGTAAGGTTAGAAAATGCCTCCCCTGAGCTGTTTCCTGGGAAGGTTGCAGTGCACATTTGCATAGTCCAACCTCTGAGAAGTCCACTCAGCTTTCCCTCAGACACCTCTGACATGTGTGTCCCTAGAACATGTCTATGAATACCTTCTAGAAGCTGTGGTTGGGAAACCTGCCCTAAATCGTAGCTCAGGGTGCAGGGAAGCCACGTGCCACTCACCCAACATGGGTGCAAGATCTGACATTTATTCAGTCTTGGAACCCGTCACCCTGTCAGATGCATCCCACCCACCTGGCCTGCTGAGGGCCTTTTGTAACTTGATGCCTGAAACCATGTTTGTCTTGGACCTACATCTCCCTAGCAAATATTTCCACATGCCTGCACGTGTCTGTGGGGAAAACAGTAGTCCACAGGAGATGCCAAAGTCAGCCTTGGACCGGCCAGTCTGGCCCTGTGTAAGCAACTCCTCCTCTGAGGGGCAGCACCTTCTTTTAGAAAGAGTGCGCAGGACACAGCCTTCTAGCAGCATAGGGAGGAGGGTCACATGGTTTCCAAGGAGACAGGGTCCCTTAATATTGTTTTCCTCCAAATGAATGAATAGCCCCAAAGTGAGAGGCAATGCCGGAAGTTGAAGGATTACCTGATGCCAGCAGCAGCTGCTGTCCAGAGAGAGGGGAGGGGTGCCGGGGCATGGGAGATAGGGGCTCATTAACACTTCTTAAATTAGCAAATCTGTAAATTAGCACGAGTTTAAAAATAGCAACCTAATGATTTCTAAAATTAGCCACAAATACACACTTAGACCTCCCAGAACTGGTCCGCTCACCTAGCCTGGTGGGGTCAGGCAGGCTTAACTTTCCTGTGGTACTTAATGACTAACCTTGACAGGGAAGAGTTGGTGAGGTTGTAAAATGCCCAGTCAGGGGTCAGTCAAGAGGCCAAGTCCAGGCAGCGATCTTCCAGAGAAGTCTTCGGACCCTGAGCCACCTAGAGCAGCTTGGGGTTGCCCTAATCTGCTTGAGGAAGCCCCCCACCTGAACAACCTCTGTCACTACTAACAAAGCAGGGTACAGCAGCATCCAAGGAGCTGGCCACCTTGGAGATCCTGTCCCTTGGCCGGAGTTGGCCCCCTCAATAATCACTTCAACCCTGGAATTCCAAAGCAGCCTCTGAACTGCCTCTGTGGTACTTGACAATGTCATCCCCTTAAAAACACAGCACCCAAGCCTGTCTCTAAGTCATAACCTGCACACACCTTAGCATGTATCAGTCCGAGCTGTCTGGACAAATTTGTTATTACTCATTACTGACCAAAGAAAGAAGATTCAGGTATTTCAAAAGAGCTGAGTGCAGATGTAAGGTAGAACTTCTTCTATGTGCCTCCTATGACTAGGTGCCAGGAGAAATTAGAAATGGGAGCTCTGGAGTCTGGGTCCCTGAGGCCTGGCTGCTCAGACAGGCTGTCATCTCTGCCAGCTCTGGCCTTCCAAGGAAAACAGCTCATTCTTCCAATCAGTGAGGTCCAAGAAACTATTTTTTCAGAATATGTTAATTACCATACCAATTGCCTATGGAAAACTAAGTTTCAGTGACAGAAATAAAAGCATTGAGATAATATTTAACTGGCTTCCCTTCGCTCCCTCCCTCTCCTCCCTTGGCTTTATTAGGCCTCCTGCCCGCACCTGAGGAGCAGCTCCATCCCTGGGGACCTGGGCACTGCCTGGCAGGGCTAGCAGAAGCCTTTGGCCATGGCCAGCACAGCGGTTCAACTCCTGGGCTTCCTGCTCAGCTTCCTGGGCATGGTGGGCACGCTCATCACTACCATCCTGCCACACTGGCGGAGGACAGCCCACGTGGGTACCAACATCCTGACGGCCGTGTCCTACCTGAAGGGGCTGTGGATGGAGTGCGTGTGGCACAGCACCGGCATCTACCAATGTCAGATCTACCGCTCCTTGCTGGCACTGCCCCGTGACCTGCAGGCGGCCCGGGCTCTCATGGTCATCTCCTGCCTACTGTCCGGCGTGGCCTGTGCCTGCGCAGTGGTGGGCATGAAGTGCACCCGCTGTGCCAAGGGCACACCAGCCAAGACCACCTTTGCAGTGCTGGGGGGTGCGCTTTTCCTGCTGGCCGGCCTCCTCTGCATGGTGGCTGTGTCCTGGACCACCAACGACGTGGTGCAGAATTTCTACAATCCGCTGCTGCCCAGTGGCATGAAGTTTGAGATCGGACAGGCCCTGTACCTGGGCTTCATCTCCTCGTCCCTGTCACTCATCGGTGGCACCTTACTCTGCCTGTCCTGCCAGGATGAAGCCCCCTACAGGCCCTACCAGGCCCCACCCAGAGCTGCCATGACCACCGGGGTCACCGCCCCCGCCTACCGCCCACCAGCAGCTTACAAGGACAACCGGGCACCCTCGGTGACCTCAGCCTCGCATAGTGGGTACAGGCTAAACGACTACGTGTGAGTCCCTTCCCCAGGCCACTGCCCCGGCTGCTGAGCCCCGAGGGACCACTGATGGCTGCTGGGCAGCTGGAGAGTTTTACTTCTGGGATGTTTGCTATCCTCTGATTAATGTGCATGGAAGAAATGCGCCCAGAACACATGGAAGGAGGGACTCCAGGAGGAGAAAGCTCTGTATACCAAAGGCTTTTTTAAAGTGCTGTTTTGTATTTATTATATGTATTTATGCAGGTGATTTAATAAGATCTCAATAAAAAATGAGCTGGGAGCTTGGCAGTGGGGGTTGTTTGTGACACAGGACTAAGCCCTTGGGTGGGAGGTTGGATGTTTCTGAGATGGACAGGACTAGATTTTGTCTTCACCCTGGGGTGTGGGCCCTAGGGATGCAGAGATTCTGGGTCCTGCAGCCATGCTGAGGATGAGGACCCCTGAGTCTAACTGGTGCTGACCGGTGCTGCTCCCTACTAGTGCATGATGGGAAAATCTGAGGCACACTCAGCTGATACCCACACAAAAGATGCTTGAGCTAAGCCCACAGGAAGTCATAGAGTCCCCTACCAATCTGGAAGTGTGGTGAGAGGGAGGGCCAATCACAAAGTAAAGACAATGTGGCTTCCAACCTTATTTATTTAAGGGGGGTGTGCAGGCACATGCGTGCCATTGCCTGTGTGTAAAGGTCAGAGGACAACTCTCCAGAGTCGGTTCTCTCCTGCCACCTTGTGGGATCCGGGGATCAAACACAGGTCATTAAGCCTGCCCAAGTGCCTCTACCCACTGAGCCATCTCACTGGTCCAGCAAGTCCCACTTTTAAGCAAACGAAAGTGAGTTTGGAAAGGGAAGAGCACATGGTACCTCCACTTTCTAGGCATTGGCTTGGCAAGAAGCCCAGTCAGGATGCTTGACCCCCCCGGAGGCCTCACCTGGATTCGCTGGCTTCTTTTCTGGGGTGACCAGTCCCAACAGGTCCTAGAAGGCTTCTGCTAGAAAATGCTGGAAAGCTGGGTGGGGCCTGAAGGCTTTGAGAGTCTAGTGTTCTTTCCAGCTGTTATCTGAGTCACATGACCAGAGAGTTGGATTGTACTTGCACATGCATGCAGACACACACACACACACACACACACACACACACACACACACACAGAGAAGCCCAGGGAGCCTGGTCCTGCTCTCATGTCCCTGTGGGCTCATGCCTTTCCTCTGCCTCTGACACCACCTGCTCCTGGTCCATCCCAGACTGAGTGTGAAGGAAACACCCATTCTGTGGAAGGGCTGAGCATGAGTGTGGCTGGAACAAGGCAGCTGCTGTGGGACAGTGGTGAGGCCCGCTGGTGTGGTCTGGCCCTGTGGGGTCAGAATGAATATCCAAAAGGAAGGCCAGGAGGGTCGCAAGCTGCAGCTCTGGACCCAGCCAGGCCTGCAGGGTGTTCATAACCCCTGTATTAATTAATTTTCTCATAACAAACACCCTGTCAGTGATCAGGAATGATGATCAGTTGGTAGAGTGCTTGCTTAGCATGCACAAGGCCCTGGGTTTGATTCCCAGTTTTGCATAAAACTGGGCATGGTGGTACATGTCTGTAATCCCAGCACTTTTGAGGTAGAGATGGGAAGAGCAGAAGTTCAGGGACTGGAGAGATGGCTCAGTGGTTAAGAGCACTGGCTGCTCTTGCAGAGGATCCAGGTTCGATTCCCAGCACCCACACAGCAGCTAACAACTGTCTGTAACTCCAGTTCCCAGGGATCCAATTCCCTCTTCTGGCCTCTGCAGGTATTGCATGACACAGGTGCACCTCTACATGCAGGCAATACACTCATACACACTAAAAAGAAAAAAGACAATGGTAACGATTATAATTCATTAGCACTTACAACATTGTGACAGGCGAACTTTTCATATACCATTTCATCAGAGACAGATAAGAATCCAATGAGAAAAATACCTGGTTATCTTCACTGTATAAGAGATGAGACTAAGGCACAGAGACCAAGTCAGCTTGCCCAGGAAAATAAAGCACCAGGATTTGAACCCAGAGTCAGGCAGGAGTGCACACATCAGCCCCAGTACAGGAGAGACCTCTAGTCAAACACCTTTCCAATCTGTACTAAATCCAGTCACTTAAGTGGATGTTTTTGTGGCCATATTTGGGATTTTCTAGAACTATTAATCTGCAAAGCATCTGTGTGGTGGATCTTGACTATAGTAGGATGAAAGAAGATGAGGTCAGACCCAGTGGTCCAAGTTTGAATCCCCAGGGGAAACAGGAAGCAACACACAGGAAGTGACATCTGTCCTACAGCTGATGAGCTAAGCCAGAAACCAATCCGTAGTAGACCTGGGTTTCTTCCTTCAAGTGACAGCATATGAACTGCAGTTCCCAGGACTGGAGAACTCAATGGTCAAGAGTACTGGCTGCTCTTGCAGAGGACCCAAGTCCAGTACCCAGCACCTACATGGTGGCTAACAACCATCCATAATTCCAGTCCTAGGGGATCTGATGCTGTCTTCTGGCCTCCGTGGGCATTGCACGTGGAATGGTTACATACATGCGGGCAAAACACTCACACACACAAAACTTAATAAATACCTGCATTCCCAGTCTTCCCCCTGAGGACAAGTCTCTCAGTTCCTCTAAGCCTGTCTTTTGCCACCTTACAATCAGGGCCATGGAGTAGACTCTCACTTCTGCCCAAATCTTCAGGACTAGGTCTTAAGTAAGATTGACTCCTTTTGGAGGCACAATACAGGACCTCAAATTTCAGAATGAAAGGAAACATGAGTCAGACTCAGATGTGTTCCAGGAAACCATTGTTACAACATGGTATAAATTACAAAGTGACCCTTGTGGGTTAAGAAATGCTACATTGCTTTGTTTCTCTAAATCAAGCCGAATTTGACTGTTCCAGTGAGGTCTGTAGACAGTCATGCTTTCTGGATCCTGCCTCCTGAATTTAGGTCCCAGGGCCCCAGGGAAGGACTTAGCCTCAGAAGGGGTTTGGCAGTCTTCTGTCCTTAGGTCTCTCTGCTAATCCACTGACTACCAGGCCCTGATATCTTCCAACCCAGAGGTCCCAAGTCTCCTCAATCCTAGGGATAGGCACTAGAATCTTCCACGTTGTGAAACCCTGGAGAAAAACACCCTTTTCCCATTGGGTCTCAAGGAAACCACCTCCTGGGATGGGACTGTGCCCCTCTTGCACCCAAAGGATCCACCACCCCTCTCTTGGATCTCGTGGATTTGTCTTGAAATCCAAGGCCTCTGAAATCTGCCGGAGCATCATACATTCATGTTGGCCACAGTGGCTCAAAGTAGAAACATTTTGAAACTACAGCAATCTGCCATTTGAATAATAGCCAGTTACTTGAGAATCATAAACCAAAGATACATAGGTACCCAGATCACAGCTTCAGGTCAGGGATCCCAGGCTACTTCTGGCACATTGCACAGACTGGATGGAGGGAGGAAGGAGGGAGTCGGGCAAAGAGCTCAAACAAGCCAACTACACATTCCTTCTGTAGGAAGCACCAATATCAGACAAGTGAAATTAGAATAGTTCAGTGTGTAGAAGGCACTTGTCTCCAAGCCTGATGACCTGAGTTTGATCCCCAGAACCCATATGATGGAAGGAGAGAAACAACTCCTGCAAGTTGTCCTCTGACCTCTACATGCATGCTATGGCACTGTTACACAAGGAAGGAAAAAAGGGGGAGGGAGGGAGGGAGGGAGAGGGAAGGAGAGATGGGGGAGGGGAGGGATGGGAAAAGGGAAGGGGAGGGAAGGAGAGGAAAGGCAGGTCAATGCTCTATGGCAAACGTTCACCATGAGCCTCCCTTAGGGTAGGAGAGGGGTGAGTTGAACAGTTTATCTAAGACTTTGAGGATTGCTTAAAAGCTGTACCACAGGAGCTGGGGGTATAGCTCAATTGGTAGACTGGTAACTTAGAATTTGTGAACCCTGAGGTCAATTCCTAGCACCTTATGGAAGACACAAAGAGAGATAGAAACAGTGAGGCATGGACACAAAGAAAAACATTGCAATCATGTATATTTTAAACTATTTCTTGAATCAAAAAACACAAAGCCAATTACTGGGCAACTATCCAAAGGAAAACATAGAAACTTCATTCTGGTAAATTATTTTAAAATACTACCAACAGGCTTTTGCAGGTGTGTGGTAGGGGGAAGGCATTAGTAAACAGTCCATTTCCTGCTGGGGAAAGGCCAAAGGAGGTTACCCCATAAATCAGGCCACCCCCACCCCCAAGTCTAATCACCTGCCTCTTCCTCAACTCCTCAAGGTCCCTCTTGCTCAGCAAGCCTTAAGGCAGGCAGGCAGGCAGCTCCCCACATGTCCACTCTAATTCCTTCTCTGAGGAACTTTCTATTCAAATGCTCACCACCGTCCCTGGGGGCTGGCAAATGATTAGGCCAGCTGGAGCTGTCTGTCAGCCAGGGCAGCCTACCAGCTGCTCCCTGGGGCATCAGCTGCCTCTAGCTCTGGGGAGGTCTGGGTATTTTTCAGTCATCCCAGGTGGGTTTTGTTTTTTTTTTCCAACATAAAGCATTTACATAGACATTTCATCTGGTGTAACAGCCAACAAGGAAAACAGGAGGGTTTTGGTCTGGTGGATTCAACAGGTGTCTGAGCAGTCGTGCCCAACTTGGGTGCCAGTTCTATGACCTTGCTGATCATGAGTTGGTTGTGGTGGGCAGTGAAGAGGGAATGGGAAGGGGAAGCCCAGTGCTGCCCTTGGGAGTCCATGAGTCAGAGCCCAGCACCCTCCTGACAGGAACCTACATATCACATCGATTTGCTTTTTGTCTGTTTGGTTTTTGTGGTTTTGGAGACAGGGTCTTGCTAATGTAGCCCAGGCTAGCCTCAAACTCTAAATCCTCTTGCCACTGCCTCCTCAGTGCTGGGATTATAGGCCTACACAGCTTCACCCAGTGATCCCACATGCTTTTATTTTTTCCAAAACTGAATCTGATTGAAATCAGAATGAGAGAGAGAGCACTACACACCCACCAGAATGGCTAAATTTTAAGACTGACAATATCAAGTGTTAATGAGGAGATGGGATAACCACAACTTACATTCCTGGGAAGACAAATTAGTATGATGACTTTGGTCATGGGCAAGGAGGGTCCTCTGGATGCTCCATGCTCCCTTTATGAACCTGGGAAGGAAAGACATGGGTGTATTTCTCCTAGGAGTCCCTGTGGTGGACACTTGGAATCAGGATGGGCTTGTCTTCTTCACAACTTACCCTGTAC